CATTTTCTAGAAATAACATTTTTCGAACAGCCCAAAAGAAAAATTATATTCAAAAGCGCTTGACTGAGGTTCCAGTACATTCGGCACGTGGCGTCCGTTTAGAGATTCATAAAAAAAACCAAAGATAAATAATTAAGACCACCTAAAGGGTCCATCGCTACCCAGTTTTTAGCCATTTATCGAGCTAATTTACACCGGTCTCTAATGCCTCCATCAAAACGCGGACCGACCCGAAACGGCCTAATTGCCAAAAGCTTTCATGTTACACACCCCCGTTAGGGTTTTCTTAATTATATCCCCTTCGTATGGGGTTGTTTTTGCGCTCGAGGGTGTACGGGATCATATCGCATATGCCACTTAGGACGGTTCTCGATTATAAATGGGCGTATCGAATTTTGGATTTTTCTGATTTATTGCAGATCTGTATGGCACCGCTTTCGATTATTAACGTTCCTTCGTTAGAATTCTGCTGTATAGTTCGACAGGGAATTCAACTTGAATTGGATTTCTATTAGAGGAAAATATATGTTTCACTTCAATTTTGTCAAACAAAAATTTTACCAACTAGCCAATCGAAACACATAATCAAAAATTTGCAGCAAATCTAAAATAGTGTATTATGCGACAAGTGTGGCAAACGGCATTTGAGTTTATTTGGCACCAGCAGAGCGAATGTTTAATAAACGAGTGACTTAAAAAGTTTACCAAACGTGTTGCGTACTATACATTTTCTACGACCGTTAATTTTTGGGTACATTTTTACAAAACAACACGAATACATTCACTGGCAACCGCCAATGAATTTCCGAAGTGGCTCGTATCCGTGGGACAAGAAACTCGCGAGTGAGATACAGAGTTTACCAAACGTGTTGCATATTAAACTATTTCTACGACCGTCACTTAAAAATTACAATTTAACAAATTAAAAATATTAACAGATTATGGGATTAATAAATTTAGTACCATTGAAACAAAATATTTACTAGTTGCCATTAAACCTATTCGTTTATAGTTCCAATCGGTTCTGCTATTGTTATCTCTGTTTATCTGTGTACGTTAGACGGAATAAACACAATTTTAATACTTTATGTTGTTTATTTAACTTTTCAATAGATCATTAAATAGTTTATTTTAAAAAAAAGACTATAATTGGAAGAAAAATCATCCAAGGATAGAGCTTTTAAGAAGATTAAATTTTTAAGTTCGTATAAGCAAGAAAAAGCAGACCCTAACCTTCAGTTTTGTTTTGTCTGTACTGATGAGACACGGATATTTTAAAATCGTAAAATGCTCTTGACAAGATATTAATGTAAAAACTGTAACGGTATGTAAAATTTCTGTGGGAAACTAATATTATAAATGTGACTTAACTTACCGACTAGTCCACTAGATTTTAATCGTAGCTTATAGCATGTAGTTAAATTGTCGAATATATTGCATAACATTTTTATGTGTATTAGTTTTTGGGTACAAACGTAAAAATTCAGACCGTGCGGTGGCAAAATCTCCAAAAAACATCCGATTGCTCCCAAACCCGCGGTAAAATGCCGTAAATGTGGGAAACGAAACTGATTTGATAAATGTTGGCATATTTTCAACTATCAAAGATGCTCATAGATTTCAAGATCAATTCATTTTTTTGGGTCTCGATGAGATATTTAATGGCGCAACGAAATGTTGGAATATTTTCAACTTTGAAATGATCAACCATTTTTAAGATCTCGATAGTGTTTTGTGATATTAAAAAAGTAAAAACTCCTTTTGGTAGATGTTTTTATCTAGAATTCATTGGATATAAAAAGAAACAGTAAGTCTAACGCTTAAAATAAAACTTCCTGTTTGTTTTTGTGGGATTAAAAATAGTGCTATTTTTTCTCTTATCAATGATAAGTTATTTTTTGTTTCCTAAAGGTAAATTAAATTTTAAAAAGCTTTCACCACGTTCAAAACTTAATAAGATATATATTAATTTAATTAATTAATTAATGGTCGCCTAATTTTTTTTATCAAAAGCCCGCTTTTGGATTTTATTTCAAGAGATTATCGAAATACGACAATACAATTATTATCAAGTATTATTTGTTATAATAAACAAGTGGTTTAGCGAGTACTATTTTTTTTACGCCACCATTTTTTTAAAGTAGTCTGTAAAAAGGCTGTATCATTTATCAAAACAGATTCAAATGTTACTTACAAAATTAACATTGTCTCAATGAAAACAACTAAAGCTTTTGGATTTTATTTCATGTAATTATCGAGATACACAGTACATGTGATTATTAATTTTTTTTACTCCACCAATTTTATTAAGTAGTTTGTAAAAACAGCTGTACCATTTTTTATAAAGCAGATTTAAATGTTATTGGCAAAACTAACGTTGTCTCAACGAAAACAACTACACATTAAACGAAAATTGTGTTGGCAGACATTACGTGATTACAATTACAATAGTCATCTTTTGTTATCTAAAGGTAAATTAAATTTTAAAAAGCTTTTACCACATACAAAACTTAATACGGCTTTTGGATTTTATTTCAAGAGAATATTGAGATACACAGTACATGTGTAAGTATTGAAGTATCACTCGATATAATAAACAAGTCATTTAGTATTCTGCAGTCTGTTAAAATAGCTGTATCATTAAAAAAAAATAGATTCAATGAAACCAACTAAAGATTAAAGGAAAATTGTGTCAGCATGCATTAGAGCCTTTAAAGTACTGATTTGGGTGTTACTTAAAACATGATTTTTAAAAAAACTATTATATTATTTATATTTATAATTGTTAGAATGTAGACGCTTTTTCAATATTAACCTATATGAAACAGTTGAAGCGGTTATCAAATTTTTAATTAATTATGAATTACTTCTAACTAATCGATAAAAACAAGTGGAGATTCCTAAATTGAATGGACGGACCTCATTTCACTTATTGGTTTTGAAGAACCATATTCGACCGGAATTTCAACTTAATAACAATAACAACAAATAATAATTTTGCTATTTTCTAGAAAATTTTCCTGTGAATGCGAGTTTTACACGTCGATCAATGTTCATAAAAATCCCAATTACTTGTAAAACACCTCGAAATATAGCTATTAAATTTATCCAGCTTTTTTGTTATTTTATCGGCTCGCACAATCGCCGGCCATTCGGTTCCGGCTGCGCCATTTCGCGTTTTCCTTCCGTTCCACGGGCTGGCAGCATGCAGGGGGTTGTGCGACCGGTCGACCAAATATCACGCGTCGAAATGCCTCCCCCGGGGCTTTTCCGCCCTGATTTCATGCCCAACTCTAATCGGCGATCAGTTTTATTCCATTTGCCTGGAAAAGTTTCCATCGCCATTGTTTTGCCGTTTTTATCTGGGCTCATTTTTCCGATTCGATATTTTGCTATTTCCTTTTAAAAATTGTTTCTTTTTTCTTTGTTCAAGCTCTACCAAACACATCGATGCACTGAAAAGGTTGCAGTTTTTGTATTTGCCGTAATAATAAAAAACGTTCCATATCTTCAATTTTTTTTTATATCAAAATCAGGATTTCTTTTTGTTAGTAATTATTTCAGATATCGACAATGAAGATGAAAAAATTATTTATTTATTAAAGTAAGTAGACAGATTTTAGCTAATGTGATATTTAGTCCTGCTACCTCCGCACCTGTTAATGATTTTCCGCAAAATTACCAGTGGTAAATATTTCTTAAATATCCCCCTACAGATATGTCTTTATCAGGGTATACTTTATCTGCTATCTTTATCTTAAGATCTATAAATTAAAAAAAAAAAGCGACGTGGAACATGCTCTATGATTCCACACGACTGCATCGAAATTTAATTTCGACCCAATGTATGTCATGAATAGAATTTTGAGAACCTCCCTACTATTAAAGTGCCTTACGCAACATAGATTCATAGCCATAGAGTCGGGAAGCACTCGACGCAACATTCAGAATGTGATTCGCAAAAGATAATTTTTATCAAATATTACCGTTAACTCTGTGACAATATGAACCTACAATGTTAATAGAACTGAGTGACAATAGTAAGAATATGGTATTAAAGAAGGTGAAAAGTCGCATGATGATTTTCAATGAATTATAAATCAATTTCATGTTTGGAAGTCGGTAATGGGTATTAATTATTATGAACGTATACAGAAAATACCAAATCGATTTTGTTGTGGTAAACGACACACCTCTGCTTTACATTAAGAATAAAACTGGACTCATTTTTATTATTTAAAAATTAAATAATTTTTTTTTCTTGGCTTTTTGTTCGATAGGATATACTGTCATAAAACACCGATCTTAAATACCTACATACTCGAACCGAACAAAGTGTCCATCTGTTTATTTAATTTAAATCATATTATCTAAAGAGTTTAGTTTTAAAAATACGAACTATTTACTATCTACTCATTATTACGAAAAGCAAAGCTTCAAATTCACAAAACCTCAACTGCAAGTTAATACAACAAACGTTTTAGAATACAATTTTTTACATTGATAGACCAAACTTTCCATAGCTGAATACTTTGGCAAGGCTAGTGTTAAAAACAATTCAATCTTAACAAAGTCACCGTACTAGGTGTCACCATGCTATGCTACCACTGACATACAGTAATATAAAAAAAATTAGTATAATTTGCACAATTACAGTTATGTCCACTGATTAATATTAGGCAGATGGAAATTTAAGTTTTGTTTGTTCTTTTTGATAAACGAAACCTGCGCGAACAAATTCTTCATCTTCTTATATACTTCGTTTCTCTGCTAAAAATATTAAGTATAAATAAACCATTATAAAATTGATTTTTAATAGGAAAGCAAATGCTGGCAAAAGTTTGCTCTTTACCTCTGTTTTTCTGTTAAGTTAACCAAAATTTCAACGAGCAATTAAAAATCACTTTTTTAAATAAACTACAACTTTAACTAACCGATCCTACGTAATAGCAAACTTGTCATCTATTAAAAATTGATAATTTATAATTTTTGGTGCTTACCTTTATAAATACAGCATTGCGCAAAATCCACCACAATTCGAAGACATTACCTGAAAATAAAATAAAAATCTACGTAAATATCGAAATAATGAAGTTAATAACTTTTAAAAGTTCATAAATAACGCCGAAAGTATATTAAAGCTTTATAAGTAAATAATAAAAGTATAACAGAAGTCGACAAATAAGCGCCACCCTTTAAGAACCATTTAAATAGCAATAAAAATAAACTTTTACGACTATGCAAGCAAAACTCCCCAAGACCATAAATCACGCAGCTGCCGGTTTTCCATTAAAATCCGAAATAAGACGATCACCAGGCAGCTATTGAAAAAAAAACTCACGCATGCCGAAATAAGGACAGTTGTTCATAATTATAATAAAACAGCCTCTAAATTGAAATAAATAATTAATGATGTTTATTAGATATAAAAACTTGATTAACATACTTCTCTTTCAGGCAAGAAATGCTAGGAAGTTCGGCAACGTCGCGGAGACATAAATTTAATCGACGAGCTGCAAATGGTAAGCGTTGAAAACGATTCTAAACTCGATGTGGCGGCCATCCGGCGGCAGTGAGTCGAAGCTTCTAAAGGGTTGTAGTTGGGGTGAATATCAGTGGAGGGCGCTATCAGCGTAGTCCATTTTTTTATTTCACTGTATTTTGATTATATAGTGTACGTTCTAAATTTTTTTGGTATTCCATCAACCTTCGGATTTATTGTCTCAGGTAAAATTTAGCTAGAGTATTGAATTAAATCAATCACAGTCATAGTTTTTATCCGATCTATAGATAGAAAAATTATACTTATATAAAATTTCTTATTAAAATGATTGCCTAATAGTCTTCCGCCGGTGTGGGATCACAGAACGCAGAAACAACCAAGGTCTGTGAGCGAGCAATAAATCTGCTTTACCTTGTTATTAAGTTGTTCGAGAGTGTGGGTTTGTACCGGTGCCCAAAATGGAAGGAAATCGAAAATGATAGGTTTTCATATAGGATTATAAAATTGACTTTGGACGCAATAGATTTTTTGCGTCATAGTTTCGTGTAATCAAATCCGAAAAATGCGGAAACAAGTGAAAGGTAGGCATATTTTAAGCTAGATTCATTCTAACTCTACACATTTGACTTTTTGTCAGATAACAAAGAAAACATAACATTTATGAGTTCAATTTTTAACTTGTTGTATACCAAAGTGCGTTATACTGGAATACTGTTTGCAAAAAAACTAATAATTTATGAACTTATTCACTAATAATTATTGTAGAAGATTTGTAGATTGGTATGTGGCTTAACACATTGCTTTATTCTTTCAGGCACTCCGCTAGAGATCCTTTTCAGATTCGCTGAACTCATTTTTTGAAAATTTTACTATAACAGATGGTTATTAAACGTTAATGTTCTTCATTTTTGGACAAATAATAAAGTAATTTCAATTACATTCCGCAATCGAAAAGCAGATTAGACGTTCCATCTGCTTTCGTTTGCATGTAAGTATGCTTCATTTTTAAACATTGTTTATCTACTTTAACTTGACAGGCGCCTTTGATGCCTCAAAGGTGATACAATTTCTGTGCCTGGGTATACCCTTCATTTATTTTTAACTAATAAGTTTTATAGATTGGCTGGCAATTTTCTCTCCGCGTAAAATAACAAACTACTTATTTTTACAAGATTCCAATAAAATACGCAATTATATTTATTTCAGTCAAGGTAATAATAATTTCAGCAGGAAGAAAAAATCGTTTTTTCTTTAATTATTCCAATATTACACAAACCTGCAACTGATACTTCAATAAATTATTAATCTCAAGCAAAATCGGACACAGCTTCCGGCAACAATAATTTTCTCCTCAGATAGGAGTCCGATATTTTTTCCTCAAATCGTGGTTATGGTGAGAAATTACATCGGGAGACCATATTTCACGTTTGTTTTTCTGCTGTGCCCAATGGACCTTTAAGTGAGGGAAAGAAAAGCGCTGTGTCGCTAGATTGTAATGTCGGGGATTTTTTCTGGGGGCGAAACGGAGCCATTGGTGTAGCGAAAAATATCCCGCTCCTGCAAAATTAATTTTTAGATAAGTTTACCATTCTGACACACGCCCAATATATCAATTGTGCAGTGGTAATTATTTGTTCTTATTTGTACAAAGAAACACTATGCAAATGCGTGTATAGCGCAGTTATACAACGAAGGCACTTTTAGAGCAATCGTTTTAATATCAGATTGTCAAGGAATTTTCGAAAATTTGCTTTTGATTTTAATTGATTGAATTTTTGGAACACTTATACTCAACATTATATGAATGAAAAATTAAAAGTATAGTAGTACACTCCACTACTTAGTTTTTGTTGTTAAAACAAATAAATAAAGATAATTAATAATTTGCAGCGAGAATTATCATATAAAACGTAATTTTAAAGTAGTTTAAGTTTAACATGTACATTAAAAAAAAAACGAACATGAAGAAGTGGAATCTTTTAGAGTTTTTATTTTCACTGAATGCGTGGTTATATTTCTGTAATAAAAGTTTTAATTGACAGTATCAACTGCAATTATAACTACAATACAAGGAGGAAAATTAATGTTTTTAATTCGATTTCTCTTGTGTTAATCCCTTCGCATTTACATGAAATCAATATTGTCCCTTGAATGAATAAACAAATAAAACAATTTCCCAACTAAGATCGGCCCGAAAACCCAAAATGCAATTAAAAAACTTCCATGTTACACCCTTGTCTGCCCGACGATCAGCGTTATGCTATGTTTAGCAGGGATACCACCCACAGACAAGCCCGCCAACCGTCCTTTTTATTTTTTTGAATTATGATCTCATAATTCATAAATTTGCCCGGCGGCATTGTGTACTATGTGTACATTTACCCTCAGCGAATTTTTTATACGCCTTTTTTATTCCAGCTCGTTAATAAATACTCTGCAGTTTCGTTTTTTAAAAACAAATATTTTTCTGTCGCTGTTAATATACACAGCGACAACGTCGGGTGATTTATGCAGTTCTGTTGAAACATTTACACTTTGGTGCCGAATAACATTGAAATAGGCAACGTTTCTTTTTTAATTTCTGAGTAATTATAAGCTGTTCTATTAATTAAATAAAAGCTGAAGCTTAAAAAATTTTAATTTAACAATACTAAACAGTGCAATAAAAGATAATTTTTAAAAATTTTAAATAAACAACTTCAACTGCAACCGTTTCTTATATCATATCACAGAAAAAGAACCAAAATGGCAGGATAATGGTTTCTGAGAGTCGCCCGCCCACCGCTCTTCGATGCAGGTCAATTGCGCTGATGCATTAAAAGGGGTTTACAACTTAATAAAGATCGCCATTTTGCTTAGTTGAAATAATATTACTATAACGTGATTATATATATATATATATATATATATATATATATATATATATATATATATATATATATATATATATATATATATATATATATATATATATATATATATATATATCGTTCTTAAAATATATAATGAAGCGTAAAATTTTAGGAATTTCATACCCATTTCGGAGCTAATTTGCGTTTGACTTAAAATCTAGCAGGGTATAATTTTTACGATTAAATTAGATAGAAACGTATCCTGTCATCGGTCAATTGAAATGAATAGTTATTATATGCTTTAATGACGCATGGAAACACGAGTTTTATTAACCTGCATTTAAACGCAGCAATTGGAAAATGTAGAACACGTTATATATAAGGCATTATACCACTGGTGAGTGGTTTTCTTCAGTTTTATCAGGCGATGCAATCTACCAACAGAAATTTGAATAAAAGTTAAAAATACGAAGGCAATGGTAATATATAGACTATGATTATAATAAACCATGGATTAATTTTGTCTATGTCATTTGGAACTCAGGATTAGTAGACAACCTAAAAATTTTAGGTATGCTATTGCTATGCTAAGCACGGATCCTGTATCCAGAGAAATGCAATATGTAATATTTATATTAATATTACGCGCTTTTCTAGTCGTGAATGAAAGTCAACATCTTCATTCGTAAATGCGTATTCACTAATAACAAATGAAATAGTACTACAGAATATGATTTGATACAGTACAATCATAGTACAAATAACCAAAGATTATATTACCTAGAAAATTTTATACTAGATTTTACGATAAGAAACAAACGATGTAAACTTTTTTGTTTGGGTTACTTTAAATTACTGGACAAATAGAATCATTCACGCACCAATGTTTGTTTTTTAATTATGCACATTAAGAAACTGTAAATAACTTAAAGAATTTTCGTGTTTTAAATTAACTAAACGCCCAGAAATAAATGGCCACCGTTTTTTGTGTTTTTCTGACCTTGTATAATTATATCATTGTGTCGACTATACAAATTGCCATTTCGAACAGCTGACTGGGGCGATCAGAGGTCTGGGCGGCCATTACTCTTTCGAAGGGCAGCCGCACGCATCTACACGTCCGCCAAACCGGCTGAGCAATGTGGGAAAATGTGGGACTGGGTCTCAATTACCTACGTCCCGAAAAAAAAAATGTCTTACAAGGAGATATTCTTATCGGCCGAAGGAGCCGCATCGGTATTTAGTCGTCTATGCGGGTAAACGAGAGGTTGCTGCATTATACAGTTAAGTATTATATTTTTTAATAATTGGACAATTTCAATTTATGCATCGCTTACGCCGCGATTATTATTTAGTATCGGTTTAAGGAATTCACAAAAATTCAGCTATTTCTACGGTTTCTTAGCAAATTCTTAACCTAATATGCATCAAACACTCCTCGCAAGCAGTGGGCTGTTAAAGTATGTACAGGATGTCCAATTAAGCAACAGAATCTTGGAAACCACCGACCGTGAAGCTTGTTTTATATTTTAATTTTTAATTTGATTCTATTATACAATTTCAAAATAAACAGTCTTTTTCAAAGACAACGTAACCTTAAATACACCACTTTCATGAAGAGCCAGGAAAAAGGGTGGAATCAAAGTTGTCTCATCAAGATTGTGGCAGTTTTAGTGGAAATCTGCAATTATTATT